ACCTCTTCAGAATGGTGAAAGTTTGAGATAGGTTGGTGATGTGTTGGTCATCATGTTTGCTCTTAACTAGCATATCATCAACGTAAACTTCCATACTCTTCCCAATTTGTTCGGCGAACATTGAATTGACCAGTCTCTGATAAGTCGCTCATGCATTCTTTAGGCCGAAGGGCATGACTTTATAGCAATATAGTCCCCTGTCAGTAGTGAAGGCTGTGTGTTCTTGGTCCAGATGGTTCATGAGGATTTGGTTGTATCCTGAGTAAGCATCCATGAAACTTAGGAGTTCACACCCTGTCGTAGAGTCTTTAAGTCTGTCTATGAGAGGAAGAGAAAAGCTATCCTTCGGGCATCCTTTGTTTATGTCGGTGTAATCGACACACATTCTCCACAAGACCTTTTGGAGCAGGAGACTTTCCTTGGTCGGATTCTTCTTAACAAGGACAACATTTGCTACCCACGTTGGATAATTGACTTCACAGACGAAGCCAATGCCTTTGAGTTTTTCAACTTCTGCCTTTATTGCCTTTTACCGTTCAGCGTCATAAGATCTTCGCTTCTGTCTCACTAGCTTGGTCTTGGGGTCAATACTTAAGCAATGGTAAATTATATCGGAAGAGATGCCTGACATGCCCTCATATAACCAGGCAAAGACCTCAGTGTTCTATTGTAAAAAAGAGATCAATGCTAACCGAATAGGTGGTGACAAGGTGGTACCAATATTCACCATGCGATTCGGATAATCTTTTGCGATAGAGACCTTCTTTAACTCTTCAGCGAGTTGTGCTTGCTGGGTGAAAGAGTCATCTCAAGGATCGTCGGGCTGACTGTTGCCACCGTGAAGATCCAAGTTGGCTTCGTCTGAGCTGCTCTTTATGACTTGGTTATGTATAGAAAGGGTTTCCTTGGGCACAGACAGGTGTTGTTGCTTGACCGAAGTGTTGTAACATGATCGTGCACTAAGTTGATCTCCTCTGATGTAACCATTGCCATAGGGGGTTGGAAATTTCATCAACAACATATGTGTGGATACCATAGCCTTGAGATCATTGATGCCTGCGCGTCCGAAGATGACATTGAATGTCGTTAGGCAATCAACCACCAGGAAGTTAGTGGTAATGGTAGTTGTGTAAGGACTTGTACCAATGGTGAAAGGTAAGTACATGCTCCCCAAAGGTTGCACGATATCACCGGAGAAGCTTATCAGAGGGGAAATCGAGCGGTCGAGCAAGTGTTCAGCTACATTAAGTGCCCTGAAAGCTTCAACAAACATGATATTGACCGAAGCCCCCGTGTCTACCAGGATTCGTCGTACTTCAAAGTTGGCTATGTGAGCTTCCACGATCAGTGGGTCGTTGTGAGGGTAGATAATACCTCTTTCTTCCTCAGGGTAGAAACATATTGGATCACAGTTAGGCTTTTGATACTTACCTCCCCTGATGTCTTCCACGTGAAACACTTGGTGGCCAGACCTTAAAGCTCGTTCACTATTTTTCATGGCCCTGTTGGAAGATTTAGATATGGGTGTGCCACCACTTATGGAATATATCACATTTACCTGGCGTTGGTTACGGTTACCCCTTAGAGGGTGAATGAGGAATTGATCAATTTTTCCTTCACGTGCCAAAGCTTCAATATGATCACGAAGGGTGATACACTTCTTACCGTCATGGCCGTTATGTTCGTGGTAGCAGCAAAACGTGCCCATGTGCTTCGTGGGCTTGTAATCCGGGTGCCTCGGCTTTGGCTTCGGTATCAAGTGTGCTATGTTGAGGTAAATGGCCACGCATATGCCGTTTAAAGGTGTGTATGCCTCATACCTCAGGGTAGGGGCTGTCCTGACACGTGCTTGACCCACTGTGTTGATTGCCTGGGGTCGGGGATTATCATGGCGATACCCTTGGTTATCGCGGTAGTGTCTCTTACTTCTTTTACTAAAATGAGACTAGTGAGGATGTAAACCTTTCCTTTTACCTTGAGATTGATATGTATAGTTGACTTGGCAAAGTATTAAGTAAGGCAGGGGGAGGCACCGCTGCCATTTGGAAGGTCGAAGTCTTCTCATTTGGTTGGATCTGGCTTCCATTCCCTACTTGCTGATAATGGGTGGTTGTGGGGGGTTTCCCTTGATATGTCCTTGCCTCGGCGGAGGCATGGTTGTAAGCTTGTGTCATCACCTCAGAGTAAGTCTTCCAAGTGTTGGCATTGATCATGTACTCAAAGAAACAATCACATAGGCCTGCCATGAAGGCCTTGAGGGCGGTATTGTCATCTGCCTCAGCGCAGCGAGAATACTCATGGCTGAAACGACCAGCATACTCTCGTAGTGACTCATCAGGCGTCTGGCGAATAGTGTACAAGTCATCTGCAGAATGCAAGCGATCGGTCTGGAATATGTGTTGAGAGACAAACAGTTTCCTCAGTTCCTCAAATGAGTCTACTGTCTCAGATGGAAGACGGCAATACCAATTTAGAGCTCTGTCAGAGAGGGTGAAGGGGAAAAGAAGACATCGTTCTTCGTCGGTGTGCATCCGATATGCCATGGTGGACTCAAAGAGGTTAAGGTGTTCAATTGGGTCTTCCCTTCCAGTATAGAGTTGTAAACCAAACTTTTGTTTTGTCTTCGCTTGAAAGGGGTGTCGAGGATGCTCCTTGTGAGAGGGCTAGACCTGGGTTGGTTCCAGTCAGGTATCTCGGCCTAACGTTCGGCCTTCAACTTGTTTACTTTCTCAATGAACTGTAGGACAAGGGGGTCTGTCATGTACCACTAGGATTTTCTTTCGTAAGTCTCCATTGCCTCTTAGAAGTAGGAAAGTTTGAGCAAGGGCGTGTGATTTTTCCTTGAACTCGCCGTACTAACTTCTAGGGCGAACCTGTCGGAATAGCTCAGAGTCCCATGTACCTTCATGTTCCTCTAGGACATGTCGTTCCTTCCCTAGATTGGCAGCTGGCTTGGGTCGTGGGAAGGGACCGAGTCTTTCAGAAACCCTTGGGTCATTGATCTTCGAGTATATATGGAGGGGATTCTCTCGACGTTGCCTTAGGAAGTCTCGGCAGTCACGATAAACGGCTTTTGATCCTTCCAACCCTTCTGCAATGAGGTGTCTTCCTCCACTTCTCCTGCTTCAGGTCGAAGCAGCTGGGTTGAGAGAAGTCTCATGTTGATCAATGTTTTGATAATTAGCTCGCTCCTCATCAGGGATACCCATGTCGAATGAAGGTGACCCTCCGTGTTGGGGGGCACCCAGATGATGGTTGATGTCTACAGGGGCAACAAGCTCGCGTGTTTGAGTACACATAGTTTCATGGAGCGTCTCAAAGAGCTTCTCATACTGCTCCTGGGGGACCTCATTCTTCATTGCTATCTTGTTGTTTTGAGTTTCTAGCTCATCGACTTTAGCTTGAAGAGCAACCCTTTTTCATTCATTCTTTCGTTGCTTCGCACTAGGTGCAAGAGGGGTGTCATTATGTGTGATGTGGCTTCCTTCGCTCCCCATGTTGGAGAGGGATGTCTAGTCAAAAGAGAGTGTACGAATGGTGGAAACCAGCTTGACAAAGCTGAAGAGAGTGGGAATAAGTGTCGTTTCCCACAGATGGCGCCAAATGTTGATGCACAAAATCAGTGAGGACTTTGGTACAACAGAAAGTGTTAAGTTTGTGACATTTGATAGATTGCTCCAGTCACTAGTATGGATAAGTATGTAAATTGATAGAGATAGGGAAGCAAACACAAGATGTACGTGGTTCACCCAGATCGGCTACGTCTACGGAGTAGAGGAGTTCTCATTAATTGTGAAGGGTTTACACAAGTACATAGGTTCAAGCTCTCCTTGAGTGAGTACAAGTGAATGATTTAGTACAAATGACATTAGGAAATATTGTGAGAAAATGATCTTTATTTATAGAAGAGAGTTTCTAGTTTCATTCTGACATTGACACATGTCGTGTTGTGATTGGCTTCTGATGTTGACACGTGTCGTGCTATGATTGGCTTCTGATGTCGACACATGTCGCGTTGTGATTGGCCTCTTGGTTGGAGGGAAACTCTTCTGGGTCCTTGACTTATAACGTTGACCGGTGTTCAGTAGTTTCAGGATTTGTCAAGTATGGTACAAACACAAAGAACTAGGATGAAATGGCTAGAATAAGGCTCCATATATCTAATTCCAGGCAGAGCTCATACCGTGCAAGTATAAACAATTAAATGATTTCAATGTTTTATCTTTCCAATTTCCTGCTATTAATGACATATGCAAACAAATAAGCATTCTGTTTTTTAGAACATCTTACCATAAGCTACTGTGGCATGGCTTGTCAGGCAAAAGAAAATTATCCAAGTTAGAAAAAAGGGACTGCATGTGGAAAGCCAAAGAATTAATGAAATCATGCCCTTTAAGGCAACGCCTCTTCAAACTATAATCACTCATGAATAAGCATGTATCAAGTAACTGAATGATTAAGCAACGATAATTAACAAAAGCATGTTAGTTCTTTTGTCGCTTCTACGAAAACCATGGCGAACAAAATATGCTGCCTGCAAGATGATACCGTATTAGAACTAACTGTACTGTGTGTGGACAAGTAGAAAGTTTATCACCATTAATGTTCACCACCCTTTTAGAACTAATGATACCGTATTAGAACTAAATATGCTCTCCATCCTCAACTAGTGGTAATGTTCACCATCCTTTTTATCACTATTAAATGTGTTTAAATTTTAAAATTTGTGTCTATCCATTATACATATCTCGAAACTTAAAATCATCTAACAAAAATAAATAGAAAGGTGGGCATCATTATCACTTGGAGTTGATGAATAAAAATACTCTTATTATGTTCCCATTTTTTTGGGTCAAAAGAAAGAAGATTCTGTCATCTTTCTAAGTCTGAATATTCTTCTGATCATTTGGCAGAAACGAAACTCGTTACGTCCTTGCTTACCGTGAAGGCTGCCTTCTTGAAGTTCTAAAACCAATAATTTGACTGTCAGACAAGGCCTTCAACTTTGACTGGGTCAACTTGGTTCTTCCGCAAATCACATGTTTTTCGACGCGACGTTTTAAACCTGTCTCTCCAATTTCCTCTCTCATTTCTCAGACAGCTCAAAAATGGCAGATTCTCTCAGCAACGCTCATCGCCACTCTCTCGTCCCAAGCTTCTTGTACTCTTCTTCTTCTTCTTCAATGCGGACGAGAACTGATGCATCGCCACCCTCGGTTTCATCATCGTCGGCAGTGGCCTTGTTGTCGAAAAGGGTGGTGGTTCCAGCGCCTAAAGAGAAGTTGGAGATGTACTCGCCGGCGTTCTACGCGGCGTGCGGAGTAGCAGGGATGTTGAGCACCGGATCCACTCACACGGCTGTCACGCCTATCGATGTCATCAAGTGTAATATGCAGGTGATCAGCTTCTTCGCTTTTTTTTTTTTTTTTTTTTTTTCCTTTTGGTTTTTGAAAATCTATGAGCAAGCATCCAATTTTGTAATGTTCATTTATCGATTCTATGCGGTATTCAACACCAACTCAATTTTCATTTGGTTTTGGAATTCATGATTTCGTTAACAATTTGTTTGTTGTTTAACAAGTTTGGGAGCAAACGAGTTTCGTTAACTTGTTTAACAAAGTTTGGGAATTCATGAGTTTCGTTAACAACTTGTTTGTTGTTTAACAAGTTTGGGACTAAATAGTAAGCAAAATTTTGTTGTTCTTGCGTCATGTAACTTGACAGTCATTAATTATGATTTACGAATAAACAAGGTTTAAAATGCATCTAAAAGTAAACAAAATAAAATATTATATAACAGTTAAGAGCATTTCCAAATGATATATCAAATTCTATGTGGAAATGTCATTCTACATATGTGACATTAAAATCCTTCCGACCAAAGTTTTATTTGCTGACTAGATTTGAAGTTTTGTGATTAGGAGTCAACTTTGAAATCAATTTCAAATTTATTTTTAATTAATTTTAATGATGGACCCCTTATTTCACTTGCATTTCAATTATAAAAATTTTATTTTAACATTTTTTTTTTTATAAATACAACCATTTAAACTCTTGTATTAATAAGAAAATAACTTCAGACAATTCGTTTCGGAGAACAAAATTCGACATAAGACTTTAGATTGCCATAGCAGCCCTCAATTGTAATTTGACTTTTCAATTTAACATTTTCTTTAGAGATGATGTAATGCTCTAAAAATATTAAACTTAATTTTGAAAGACCTTTTTAACTTCGATGAAATGTAATATTTTCTAACATTAGCTATCGTCCCCCCCACAATTAAGTAGTTAACGTTAATTGTAACATCACTTAGTCTGATCAACTCTACATTTACACATCGAAGTGCCCCATTTCACATCTTTGCAAAGAGAAATGCTATTCAGACTGTCTCAACACATGTGCAAGCAGCTCACACTTAACCAACATCTCTGATATTTCTTCTTTATTGTGCTACAATGAAACTAAAATCTTCAAACGGACATTGCTGCGTTACTCGTGTTGATTCTAAGCTTACTGAAGTTATCATGCCTCTAAACCCTAAACCCTTCTTCAGATTGACCCAATCAAGTACAAGAGCATCACATCCGGATTCAAAGTTATGCTCAAGGAGCAGGGCATAAGAGGTTTCTTCAAAGGTTGGGCACCAACTTTTGTTGGTTACAGTGCTCAGGGAGCCGGCAAGTTCGGATTCTACGAGTTCTTCAAGAAGTACTACTCAGACATTGCTGGCCCCGAGTATGCAGTCAAGTACAAAACATTGATCTACCTTGCAGGTTCTGCATCAGCTGAAGTCATTGCCGATGTTGCCCTCTGTCCTATGGAAGCCGTCAAAGTTCGTGTCCAAACTCAACCCGGTTTTGCCAGAGGCTTGGCTGATGGCCTTCCCAAGATCATCAAATCCGAAGGCGCTCTCGGGTATGAACTGAAATCGAAACACTTGATGGAGGAATATTGTGTGTGAAAAGTTTTGGTGTGATGTTGCTAATGAGTTTTCATTATGTTGTAGGTTGTATAAAGGGATGGTTCCGCTTTGGGGACGTCAGGTTCCTTGTGAGTTGAAGCCTTTCCGTCCATTTTTATTCTGATTCATGACTTTCCCTGCGTTTACTAATACGTATATAAAAATGGTCATGATCTCTACAGATACTATGATGAAATTCGCATCTTTCGAGACTACTATCGAGCTCATGTACAAGCATGTAATCTCAACACCCAAAGAGCAATGCAGCACACCCTTGCAGCTTGGTGTGAGCTTTGCTAGTGGGTATATTGCTGGTGTGTTCTGTGCTGTTGTCTCACACCCAGCTGACAACTTGGTCTCCTTCCTCAACAATGCAAGGGGAGCAACCGTTAGCGATGTGAGTGTTCATGTATTCTTGGCTTCCTCTGCGTTTACTAACATGTACGTAATAGTTTGTTTATAATTTCATTGTGATTGATGTCTTGCAGGCTGTGAAGAATCTGGGACTATTAGGTCTTTTCACCCGAGGCCTTCCTCTGCGTATCGTCATGGTCGGAACCCTAACCGGAGGTCAATGGGTTCTCTATGATGCTTTCAAAGTTCTTGTAGGGCTGTAAGTTCTCTGCTCTATCCGTCATCTTTCGTTTTGTTCTTCCAAAAATGCTCTGTTTTTTTGGCTAATGGAATGTGACATAGTGTGGTCAATTGCATTTTTCAGGCCGACTACTGGTGGTCCCGCCACCGCCGCCGAGGTTGCCAAGGCTTGAATCCATACCGGATAGCTGACAACCCTGTTTCTTAGCTCTGGGAAGTATTTCAAAGTGATGAGTTGATTCAGTTTAGGGGTCATTGATCCTGCATTACTGTTTTCTACACGACCGTATTCTATACGGTAATTTTGTATGTATAATTCACGTTATACTGCTCGATTTGATAAAAAGGGAGATTTCGGGGGGTCAATTTCCCCATGGATGAACATGTAACATAGAAATAAAATGTTACCTTGAATTGAGGCAACATCCTGGTATTCAATAACTGTTTAATCGTCTACGGTCAGATGAATGAACTGCCAAGAGCTCGTATGAGAAGGGAGCAAAAGGAAATAAATGATTCCCACATTTTACTATTATAAGATATCGAAAATTTGTTCTCACATGTGTTCATGTTTGCAAGTTATCACGATTTAGGCTTAAGAGGATATATGGTATCAAACACAACTCCTGCGAAAATATGCCGTACTTCTGGCAGGGCTCCCTGAGCTAACGACTCGTAATCAATCTTGCTGCCCTGCCTCGGGATGAATCCCCTCTCTGCGCCCGACGTTAAGCAGCTAAAAATCCGGCAGACTCTCAAAGATAACCCCCATGGGATAAGTACCTGCGATTTGAGATTAAATCAAATAAGGCGTGCCCTTTGCAGTTTCTCAGTAAATGAGAAGAAGAGTTACCATATCAGCATGCAACTTCATCAGGATAAGAAAAATAAAAGGAAGCCCTCACCAGATCCGAATCTGGTGCTTGTGGGTACCCTGCCATTGCCTGAGAGACTATTTGCTCATCAGTCATATTATTGAGGGCACATGTAAGAGATGCTGCGAGATTCTTAACTTCATCTCTCAATGCTCGAGGGTTCAAATTCTGACTTTCTAATAATTCGTGGAAGCCAACAGCATGTACTTTAGTGACTTTCTTGGCTATGCTTACTGCTTCTAACATATCTCCACCATTGTGAATTGCAAGGCTAAGTGCAGCAACCACCAACGGATCCCGAGGTTGTTCGGATAGTGCATTGTGGAATGCTAAGATTGCAACCCTGGAAGTGTAAACCTGTGCTGAGTCTCATTTGGTCCAAATTGTAATGAGCTTGAAAGAATATCCTAAAATGTCTAATGTACAAGAGAATATGCAATTTAATATGCTTAGACCACTCAGACCCAAAAGAAAAAGGAGCAAACAAATTACGAAGAACTAAGATGAAATGCCAAGAATAAGGCTCCATAGATCTAATTCCAGGCAGAGCTCATACCGTGCAAGTATAAACAATTAAATGATTTCAATGTTTTATCTTTCCAATTTCCTGCTATTAATGACATATGCAAACAAATAAGCATTCTGTTTTTTAGAACATCTTACCATAAGCTACTGTGGCATGGCTTGTCACGCGAAAGAAGTTTATCCAAGTTAGAAAAAAGGGACTGCATGTGGAAAGCCAAAGAATTAATGAAATCATGCCCTTTAAGGCAACGCCTCTTCAAACTATAATCACTAATGAATAAGCATGTAACAAGTAACTGAATGATTAAACAACGATAATTACCAAAAGCATGTTAGTTCTGTCGCGTCTACGAAAACCATGGCGAACAAAATATGCTGCCTGCAAGATGATACCGTATTAGAACTAATTGTACTGTGTGTGGACAAGTAGAAAGTTTATTATGAGACCCGTACCTGGATAGGAAGAAGTAGTTCTAGGAGTCCAAATTTCCATAATAACCTTAAAGAGGCTTCAGCATAACCATACGCTAGCATGTAGTTCATTTCCATGAGAAGCCTTCCCTAATGCATGAAGTAATGAGAAAGTAACTCAAAACTCTACAACATTAAGTGAAAATGAAAGTCAAAGAGCTCTTGGAATACCTTATCAAGCCTAAGAATTGAATAAGATAAACTCCTAACAGAATGAACTGTTTCCTTGGAAATACAAAATCCTAAACGGGCAGCAATTCTTATTGCACGTAGAATGCAAGCTGCAGAAAATGCAGAATCTGATTTTAGCATCTCCATAAACATGATAAAGCGTTTGCCAAGTGACTGCATTTAGCATCTCCACAAACTGCATTTAGCAATACCCATGTATACATACACAAAACAAATCAAACTGCAACTACAAACTCACCACAATCCTCTCGAAAAGAAGTACTTGCAGGTATCACGGTTTGGACCTAGGCCCAAAGAAGATGATGTGAGGACAATGTATTTGCCATCTAGGCTAAAATAATTTAAGAAACCACAACTGCTAAGAATACAAGCACACTTTAGCTTTTCTAATATCTTCAATGCCTTCCATGTAGTCGTACACTATCCTTGCATAAGGATCAAACATCAACCTGCAAAAGACAAAAAGGAAGACTATAAGAAATAAAACGAAGGAAGAGTTTTAAGTGCCAACTTTCAAGTTAAAAGGATTTTATTAGCAACCCATTAATTGTAAAGTCACGCTGCGAACAATTCCTCCAACGCATATAATCCTTGTCATCACAGTGATTTGGTTTCCTGAAATCACTACTTAAGTTTCGGCCAGACTTTCATGCGGAGATGCTAAAACTTGAGACCTGATATGAGTGCAAAATTAACATGACATTAGAACAACGTGCATAGATGAGTGTGTTGTGCCCGTGTGCTAATGTACAAGGAACTTCATGGTATTTGAGTACGAAATTATAGCCCTCCCAACGCATTAGATTAATAGTTCATTATTAGTTTAAAAATAGCTTAGAATTACAACAAAAACAAACCTCAATAACTGTATCACCAATGTGCACATGACATATAGGAAACCGCTTGCCAACTATTTCACACCAAGAAAATGTTCTTGTCACCTGAAAATATCATCTGCAGATACTACAAGCTGGAAACAACTTACGATATCGACAACTAGATAACAACAACAACAACAACAACAACAACAAAGCCTTTTCCCACTAAGTGGGGTCGGCTATATGAATCCTAGAACGCCATTGCGCTCGGTTTTGTGTCATGTCCTCCGTTAGATCCAAGTACTCTAAGTCTTTTCTTAGAGTCTCTTCCAAAGTTGTCCTAGGTCTTCCTCTACCACTTCGGCCCTGAACCTCTGTCCCGTAGTCACATCTTCGAACCGGAGCGTCAGTCGGCCTTCTTTGCACATGTTCAAAATCACCGGAACCGATTTTCTCTCATCTTTCCTACAATTTCGGCTACTCCTACTTTACCTCGGATATCCTCATTCCCAATCTTATCCTTTCTCGTGTGCCCACACATCCCACGAAGCATCCTCATCTCCGCTACACCCATTTTGTGTACGTGTTGATGCTTCACCACCCAACATTCTGTGCCATACAACATCGCTAGCCTTATTGCCGTCCTATAAAATTTTCCCTTGAGCTTCAGTGGCCTATGACGGTCACACAACACGCCGGATGCACTCTTTCCATCCAGCTCGTATTCTATGGTTGAGATCTCCATCTAATTCTCCGTTCTCTTGCAAGATAGATCCTAGGTAGCGAAAAACGATCGCTTTTTGTGATCTTCGCTAGATTGCTCCAGTCATTAGTGTGGATAAGTATATAAATGGATAGAGATAGGAAAGCAAACACAAGATGTACGTGGTTCACCCAGATTGGCTACGTCCACGGAATAGAAGAGTTCTCATTAATTGTGAAGGGTTTACACAAGTACATAGGTTCAAGCTCTCATTTAGTGAGTACAAGTGAATGATTTAGTACAAATGACATTAGGAAATATTGTGGGAGAATGATCTCGTAATCACGAAACTTCTAAGTATCGGAGTGTGGGTGTCGTCTTGACTTGCCTTATCTGTCTCATAGGTAGATGTGGCATCTTCTCTGGAAGTACTCTTTCCTCCATCCAGGGGTGGTATCTTTAACTGGTGGAGATGCACAAGGTAATGTATCAATTTCACTTGAAGCTTACTTGTAGTTTCAGGCTTGGTCAAGCGCGATACAAACCATGTAGTAGGAGTCCCCCAAGTCGCCGAGCTAGGGGGTCTGCTGAAAGAGGTGACAGACAAGGTAAGCAATCAGAGCTCCGACTGATTGTTCACCTTCTCCCCATCTTGCAGCAGCATGAAGGATAAAGAGAAGAAAAATGAGAAGAGATGATATGAGATACTTTTGCTTTTGAAGAAGTAACTTTCCACAGGCTTATTCTTGAACTGAGCTGGAGGGTTTTCTGGTTTCCTCCAGAGTATAAGGCCGACTGAAGAATTTGAGGGTCAAAACAAGTCCATCAAATCTAGAGTACGTTCCACCCTGCTGATATGGGATACTTTTGCTTTTGACAGAGTAATGAATGTATCGGCACGTGTGCTGTTACGCTTGTCTCCACATGCTTCCTTGTATCCTTCGCACTTGCCCTATCTGTTCCTCAAGCAGATGCGGAATCTTCCCTGGAAACATAAGATGTTGAAGATGAGTACTCGAGAGCAATGCCAGGTAAGTAATCAGGTAAGGGGTTCCAGGCAGTCAGTTCCTGGCTGGAAGCTTGATTCCAAGTGCTGACTGATTGCTCTCTTTCTCCTTGTCTTGCAGGTAAAAACAAGGCCAAAAGAAAAGACAGGGAAAAAGCATGATATGGGATACTCTTGCTTTTAACCCTGATGATATGAGATATTCTTGCTCTAGTATAGCTTGTTTGCAGAGGTATTATCGGGGGGAAAGAAAGCTGAATATTTCGAAAGGCTTCGTTGGGAGTGCCCTCTCAGATATGATGAAGGGTTGAGCATTTTTGCAGGTCTGCCTGTCCGTTGGGGATGGAGGTCGACATATATAGGAGTCTCCCTAACAACAAGTAGTAATGCTATTCCTTTACCCTGCTTGGTCATAGCACGGTAGTAGTGGGAGCTGCCAGTTTCACATGTTTTAACTCTGTCAGAGCACTTTGAAAAAAGTGGTCTGTGGTATCTGGCTCTCGAGATTCGGAGAACGATGCCTCTTCGATTTTTGAGAAAGCAATCATGCTGGGGGTATGACTCTCGAGATTCGGAGAGCAGTGTCTCTTCGATTTTTGAGGAAGTAATCATGTTGGGAGTCTGGCTCTCGAGATTCGGAGGGTGGTGCCTCTTCGATTTTGGAGCAAGCAATCTTGTTGGGAGTGTTGTCTCGAATGTGAGTAAAGGTTGGGCATGTTTGCTAGTCTACCTTGCCACGAAGCACAAAGGTTGACACACAGGGACTTTCCAATTATCCAGCAATGGTACTGTTCCTTTACCCTCTCTTCGATTTTGAGAAAGTAGTCATGTTGGGAGTCTGGCTCTCGAGATTCGGAGGACGGTGCCTCTTCGATTTTGGAGCAAGCAATCTTATTGGGAGTGTTTTCTCGAATGTGAGTAAAGGTTGGGCATGTTTGCTAGTCTACCTTGCCACGAAGCACAGAGGTTGACACACAGGGACTTTCCAATTATCCAGCAGTGGTACTGTTCCTTTACAGTTGTGGGTAATAATATGGTAACTAGACCTTCAAAATTTATGTGTCTAAACTTTTGTTAGTGCTGTTTCTTTGCTATTCTTTTACCTTTCTTGGTCAGAGCGATGTAGTGAGAGCTGCAAGCTTCACGTGCTCAACTTTGGCAGAGAACTTTGGCAAAGTTATTTGTGGTACCCATGAGCTATTGTTGCGTGTGGGAAGTGGGTGATTGAACAGTAAGATTCATGTGCTTTCTACTTCACCAGAAGTCTTCGACAGAATGCCCATAATTTCTGCAAAGCTGAGTGTGCGTGTGACAGGTGTTGACAAGGCTAGAAAAGTAGGTGCCTCTTCGATTTCTGAGATCGGCCCTCGTGGTCTCTGAGCAGCCCAGCTTTTGAGAAAGCGAGCGCCTCTTCGATTGATTCGGAGAACGATGCCTCATCGATTTTTGAGAAAGCAATCATGCTGGGGGTCTGGCTCTCGAGATTCGGGGAGCAGTGTCTCTTCGATTTTTGAGAAAGTAATCATGTTGGGAGTCTGGCTCTCGAGATTCGGAGGGCGGTGCCTCTTCGATTTTGGAGCAAGCAATCTTGTTGGGAGTGTTTTCTCGAATGTGAGTAAAGGTTGGGCATGTTTGCTAGTCTACCTTGCCACGAAGCACAGAGGTTGACACACAGGGACTTTCCAATTATCCAGCAATGGTACTGTTCCTTTACCCTCTCTTCGATTTTTAAGAAAGTAGTCATGTTGGGAGTCTGGCTCTCGAGATTCGGAGGACGGTGCCTCTTCGATTTTGGAGCAAGCAATCTTATTGGGAGTGTTTTCTCGAATGTGAGTAAAGGTTGGGCATGTTTGCTAGTCTACCTTGCCACGAAGCACAGAGGTTGACACACAGGGACTTTCCAATTATCCAGCAGTGGTACTGTTCCTTTACCCTTGTGGGTAATAATATGGTAGCTAGACCTTCAAAATTTATGGGTCTAAACTTTGTTAGTGCTGTTTCTTTGCTATTCTTTTACCCTTCTTGGTCAGAGCGATGTAGTGGGAGCTGCAAGCTTCACGTGCTCAACTTTGGCAGAGAACTTTGGCAAAGTTATCTGTGGTACCCATGAGCTATTGTTGCGTGTAGGAAGTGGGTGATTGAACAGTAAGATTCATGTGTTTTCTACTTCCCCAGAAGTCTCTTTGACAGAATGCCTCATAATTTCCGCAAAACTGAGTGTGCGTGTGACAGGTGCTGACAAGGCTGGAAAAGGTTGGAAAAGTAGGTGTCTCTTCGATTTCTGATATCGGCCCTCGTGGTCTCTAGGGAGCCCAGCTTTTTGAGAAAGCGAGCGCCTCTTCGATTTTTGAGATTGGCCTTCGTGGTCTTTGAGCAGCCCAACTTTTGAGAAAGCAAACGCCTCTTCGATTTCTGAGATCAACCCTCGTGATCTCTAAGCAGCCCAGCTTTTGAGAAAGCAAACGCCTCTTCGATTTCTGAGCAGGCGCCTCTTCGATTTCTGAAGCTTCGTCGAGTGCAGATTTTTATAGGGGCTGGCATTAAGTTCCAAAGCACACTTAAATCTCCACCAGTAGAAGCTTCATTCTTGCACTTCTAAGATCTTGATTTGTCCGACCTCTTCTCTCTTCAACACCTTTGAAAAATGTCTGGCCCTCCGACCGTCGTTTTGACTTGAACCTTGTTGAAGAGGCAGCCCCGCCTTCTCCAGACAACATATGGCGCCCATCCTTCGTCTCCCCTACTGGTCCTCTTACCGTTGGGGATTCCGTGATGAAGAATGATATGACCGCTGCGGTGGTGGCCAGGAACCTTCTCACTCCCAAAGATAACAGACTACTTTCCAAACGGTCTGATGAGTTAGCTGTTAAGGGATTCGCTGGCTCTCAGTGTTCAGTGTGCAGGTTCTGTGTCTAATATGGCCCAACGCCTATTTGCTCGAACCCGCCAAGTTGAATCATTGGCGGCTGAAGTGATGAGTCTCAAACAGGAGATTAAAGGGCTCAAGCATGAGAATAAACAGTTGCACCGGCTCGCACATGACTATGCTACAAACATGAAGAGGAAGCTTGACCAGATGAAGGAAACTGATGGTCAGGTTTTACTTGATCATCAGAGATTTGTGGGTTTGTTCCAAAGGCATTTATTGCCTTCGTCTTCTGGGGCTGTACCGCGTAATGAAGCTCCAAATGATCAACCTCTGATGCCTCCTCCTTCTAGGGTTCTGTCCAGTACTGAGGCTCCAAATGATCCCCCTCCGGTGCCTTCTCTTTCTGGGGCTCTACCGACTGCTGAGACTTCTCCTAAGCAACCTTTGTGAAGGCTCCCTCTTGTGTGCTTATTTTGACTCATGTATATGTACATATTTGTAGCTTATCGGGGATATCAATAAATAAGCTTTCCTTCATTTCAACGTATTGTGTTAAATACACCAAAGCCTTCTTCGCTAAGTTTCTTTGAATTTTCTTTTGTTAAAGCTTGTATGTTGAAGCTTTCTGAGTGGAGCATGTAGGTTGGGGTAGTGTTCTCTTAATTTCCCGAATGAGGAAAACTTCTCGGTTGGAGACTTGGAAAATCCAAGTCACTGAGTGGGATCGGCTATATGAATCTTAGAACGCCATTGTGCTCGATCCTGTGTCATGTCCTTCGTTAGATCCAAGTACTCTAAGTCTTTTCTTAGAGTCTCTTCCAAAGTTTTCCTAGGTCTTCCTCTACCCCTTCGGCCCTGAACCTCTGTCCCATAGTCGCATCTTCTAATCGGAACGTCAGTAGGCCTTCTTTGCACATGTCCAAACCACCGTAACCGATTTTCTCTCATCTTTCCTTCAATTTCGGCTACTCCTACTTTACCCCGGATATCCTCATTCCTAATCTTATCCTTTCTCGTGTGCCCACACATCCAACGAAGCATCCTCATCTCCGCTACACCCATTTTGTGTACGTGTTGATGTTTCACCGCCCAACATTCTGTGCCATACAGCATCGCCGGCCTTATTGCCGTCCTATAAAATTTTCCCTTGAGCTTCAGTGGCATACGGCGGTCACACAACACGCCGGATGCACTCTTCCACTTCATCCATCCAGCTTGTATTCTATGGTTGAGATCTCCATCTAATTCTCCGTTCTTTTGCAAGATAGATCCTAGGTAACGAAAACGGTCACTCTTTGGTATTTCTTGATCTCCGATCCTCACCCCTAACTCGTTTTGGCCTCCATTTGCACTGAACTTGCACTCCATATATTCTGTCTTTGATCGGCTTAGGCGAAGACCTTTAGATTCCAACACTTCTCTCCAAAGGTTAAGCTTTGCATTTACCCCTTCCTGAGTTTCATCTATCAACACTATATCGTCTGCGAAAAGCATACACCAAGGAATATCATCTTGAATATGTCGTGTTAACTCATCCATTACCAACGCAAAAAGGTAAGGACTTAAGGATGAGCCTTGATGTAATCCTACAGTTATGGGAAAGCTTTCGGTTTGTCCTTCATGAGTTCTTACGGCAGTCTTTGCTCCTTCATACATATCCTTTAGTTATTATGTCGAAGTCCTTTGGCGTACGGTTCAATATAAGATCCCTTACACAACCTCCTACAAGGTATACCTCATATCCTACAATAGAATAAGAACCACATTAATAATACAAAGTTACAAACCAATTTCAAACTAGATCACCATCAAAACGTTATATTAACACGCACCCTTTCGCTTTAGCCCATTAAGAACTTTTCGGGTAGGCTTGTCGATCATTGAAGTAGTAATGCCAAGTTCTTTGGAATTCAGCTTCTTCCACACCGGCGCCTTAACATTTTCTACACCCCCAAAAATTCCAAGCAAAAGTTAAGATAAATAAATTAAAAAAAGAACCATTTATAGGCTCCAAACCACAAAACCCAAATCACAGGCATGAAAATTAAATGGAAGAATCGAAACTTGCTTCTTCCATTGGCAGAATTACTGCTTTTGTTGTCCTTAAACAGGCACCCCGGTTCATCAAGAGCTTCCATGGCGGCGACTAAGTTCAATTGCACCTGAAATTGATTGAAACGAAAGGCTCATAAAGCAACTCACATATATATACATGTATATGTGTGTGTGTGTATATACACACATATATTTGACAGATGCAGGTGTGAAATTACCTTGCCGATGCAGTGAAACGGAGGAGTACGGAGGCAGAAATGGGGCCGGCAAGCGATTCCGAAGCTCGAAATTACCATTATCCGAGTTGATTAATTCACCGAGTGGGGTTTTAGGGATTTGGATTGCAGAGCTTAAACCCAATTGTTAGGGTTTTAGAGTCCAAACGGACTGATTGTCTGCGCTCCCATTTCGGTGCCCTCGTCCCTCTGTGGTCACGGTTAAACCACGTCAATATTTTATATTATTTTTTTATAAAAATAATAAAACAAAAATAAATAGTAATATAAAATGTTGACGTGGTTTAACTGTGACCACACAAACAGAGAGCACGAAGAGGACACCAAAATGGAAGGGCAGACAATCCAAGTCCTTAGAAAACAGGGACAGAAGTCAGAGAGACTCACTGGAAATGTTTTAGACACATGTGAAGTGAACTGTGATGATTCAAGTTGGATTAGCTTGGGCTACATGTGAACTGTATTGGGTACGTTAGTTGTAACGGGTTTAGCCCATGTTCTTGTTGTAGCCAGGAGGACTTACGTCGAAATACAAAAATAACTTGTGGTACATGTTACTACGATTCAGTGGTATTTTTTTTATTTGCAAGTAAGAGATCTTATTATCAATTCTCCCTAAAATAAAATATGAACCAAACTATAATCCATTGTGAGACTTACATACTCTCTCACCTCATATTGTAGATAATATCGTATGTATTAAAAAAAAAGGGGCACGGTCTGGATTGGATCAGTGTTTCCGCAAAACCGCAACCCAACAAATTACAATATAACATTTTAGTTTGGCTCAGTTTTTACAAATATCTAAAAAGTATATCTAACCATCTGACGATGATGATGGTACTAAGTACTTATTTAAGTACCATAGCTGGTCCCAATTTTAATTATTGTTTTTCATTTTTCTAAAGCTTAGTTAGTTGGACTGGGTTGGTATACATGTCCAACACAAATTAACCAATTCAATTTTGTGGCAACTATAAACTCAAACGTGGACCCAAATTTAGAGAAAAAGGGTTGCATTGAGCCCTCATCTTAGGAGCCCATGAGGCATTTAACCGCCGATGTTGATGGGGATTTCCGATTAGAGTACTTTGGATGCATGGATACAGTAATAAAAATTACACATCCTAGTATATATCTGTACGCCTCAACTTTTCACTTACAAGTAAAGAAGAATTATACTATGCCATATTGCTACATGTTGCTAAGTGTGAGTTATATGCTCCTAGAAATTTATCTTACGTCGGTAAAATAGTCAATAATAATAAAATAATCAATGATAAAACTAGCCGTAGCCATCGTTGAATAGGTACCAACTAATTGAGCAATCAAATTGTAGTCTGGTAGAAGCAAAAAAAAGTAGAAAACATGATTGAAAGTTGGAACAGGATAAGAAAGAAGAAGAAAAACTAAAAGCCAAATTAGGTGGAGGAAAAAGATAGGTGTAAACATTGCGATGTTACACAAAAGATAGAAGGGCAAGCAACAACCGCAAATATAACGATGTTACGTGCTTACTGTATTCGGCTGCATGCATGCATGCATGCATTGCTTTCACTGCAAAACGTCAATATACGAACATCTTTTTAATTCAAGATTTTCAGATCAGTTTTTTTCTTTAATTTTTTATGGGAGAAGTTTGTCAACAGGCCACAGTCCAATATCTGTTTAGCGGACACAGTATACTTCTCTCATGCAATGTCAAATTTATGTATGCAATTTGCAGGAAGTTTCGCAGAAGAACACATCAGTTTGATCAACTTGGATCGATCGACGTTGTTGTGTCTTGGAAATAAATTTTGCTTTTACATCCCGCATCATAAAATCGAACTGATCCAAGATATGACGCACAAGTTTATGTGAAAATTCAATCTGCTGTGTCCAAAGAAAATTAATTTGGACTTGACCCTTGACTGACATTACAAATCGTATCTCTAATAGAAGTCGGATCTACTTATATGACAATCAGATGTCGCAATCTCCATGCACGCCCGTATCTAAATAGATACTAATCATATAGAAGTCAGTCAAGGGTCAAGTCCAAATTAATTTTCTTTGGACACCGCAGATTGAATATTAGGTGCCTCAGTTATTTTATAGACTAAACATCTATGCCTTTTAGAGACTTGATTAAACTCTTCATCATTTTGGTGTCACATATATTAGAATTAATCATTTTTATACCAAAATTACATGACCTACCACTACCCCATATTTCTTAATCTCACGCCAAAAAAATGCACAACATATTGAACCAAACTTCCTATAATCTAGCATTTTGATTACCCTCTCCCCCTTTGGAGATAATTGTAAACAAAAAAACCCTAGTTAAATACAATTTATTTTCATAATACTTCCTACAATTGAGCAATGAGTATCTCCGATTTAATATATTATTCCCAAAAAGGTTGAAAATATTTTTAAATCTCACTAAATCAAACGTACCTTTTATCAATACATTAAGAGAAAATAGGACTAACAACAAAATAAATGTACCAATATATAATGTGTATGCAATCGAATGTACCAAAATCAAAAGTAATGTACCAACATTAAGAGAAAATAGGACTAACAATAATATAAATGTACCAATATCAACAATATGTACCAAATCAAACGTACCAAAACCGCAAATAAACGTATCAATCAATGTTTTTTACAAATTAAAATGTACCTAACGGCAATATACACATAATATGTCGTACCTAATAATAGTTTGTCAACAACTATAAGTAAAAAAAAAAAAAAGCAAAGAAAAATAGTTTGACAAAAAAATATGAAAAAATGACACGGTGCTTTTTATGTTGGATCACCAATCATTTGGAAAAAAAAATAATAAAACGAACCATTTGAAAAAAAGTGATAATATTTAATGTTTGTTGAACAAAAAAAATTATTTTGATCGAAAAATTATATTTGGAAAAGAGACAATAGAGTTAATAACTAATATCCCACTAAATAAGGGGTGGAAAAGCATCAAAAACCTAAGAGGATAAATTTAAAAATTAATTATTAACATTTTATTTTTAAGAAACCACAACTCACTCGAGGTGCTATTGTAACTTAATTTAGAAACGTGGTGAGGTTCCAAGCTTGGTATAATATTCGCGATCATCACTCACTACCGGACTTAACTCACAATCTTTTAATTAAAGATTACTTCGCCTACAAATTTACATGTTATAGTTCTATAAGGATATATAAACAATTATACTGTGACCACTATTATAAATCTTTATGTTGAAAACATTAAGAGCTCCTATGTTTTAGTCTTCTTGACTTGGACACTCACTCAATGTCGTGTCTAATGATGAAACTACCCAGTGTGACACCCATCACCTAAGTCTCAAAGTTATTCACCGATATTGCTAGCAGCGAGCAATATCAGATGACGTGTCCATATTCTAAATAGCTTGCCCACTCGATACTATAAACTAGCCGTAAGCGGTAACTCAATTTAGTCAAGGCTTGACGATAAAACTATGCCTTGCAACCCAATGCTATTTATTGCTATTATGTTATTTAGTGGACAAGACCCTTACAACCAATCAATCAGAATGACGCCTCCCAATCAGGTTCATTGACGTCTGTCCTAAAATACAGTACCACAGATATAGCATTACAATAGTAGGCAGCTTTAATACTCCTTATTGATAAAAAGTGTAGCCAGAGAGGAGGACTTCCTCATTAGTGTCGCTTTCCTTATAGTTACTCGCTAACCCTTTAGGTGCGTGCTCTTCTCAAGAACAATTTTATTAAAAGACGTGTTGTAGCCATACCTAGCGAATCGATAGCCTCATAATTAAAAGAAGGAACCCGGTGAGGAAGGGGATGTATCGTTGGCGGGCGGACACAGTACAGTCCATATATAGCGTTTGTGGATTAGCCCTTACATACTTTCCGTAGCACAGTACAGAGCCAGTTATTGCTTGTGGAATGCAGACCGAATTTATAGCGTAATTATCTTCTGTGTTTAGATTCTCACCCTCCGAAAGAATCCAAATAGTAGAACAACTAATTCTTAGCCGATCCAAGGCCTTAAGCAATCCGGTCTGTTAAATCGCGTCCGTTCACACGAATTAGACAAATGACGGATGTGACGTGCTTCTCCATAGTGTAGGTAAAACCGCATATAAATCCTCTCATCATATGCCACCCAAAAGTTCGGGTTACTGCTACTTCCTTCGATTGCGAAAAAAGGATGTATTAGGCGAAGGGTGAATTTATAGTTTTGCAAGGATCGTAAGAATTTTGATCACATACTCTACTCGCTGTGCTTTAGTAGGAATATGGTCAATGTTCGCCCGAGCATACTTCTCTAGTGGTGTGGTCACAAGGGTGTCCCTTAATGGGGAGTACGAAGTGGAGAGGAATTCGAGATACAATCTTAGATGCGCCTGGCATTCCCATGAGTGTTTAGATTTTACAATTTAATTAGTGCTACATTTAAGTATGAAATTAGAGTTGAGAGTAAGAATCAACATAAAGACTCATACTAATAGTATAATTAGACCAATTTTAATTGTATGAATACTGAAATTAGCAGTAAAGAAATTGACATGTAATAATTGGGAGTTACGCTTATGTGGGGAGCAGACTCTTTGTGACACTTAGATTAATGATGGATGAAATAGTTGGCTTAACTCTTAATTCACAAATAACCTATCTTTTACATCTTCACTCTCAACAGCTTGAATCCCCTTTGAGGTTTCGATGTCTCCCAATTGACCTTATGTACCGCTGTTTGGGCCCAGGGCATATGGAGAAATCTCAAGAACGTTTTCAAAGCCGCAGATTTTTACTCCTCGTAATGTGTTTTATGTCCTTTATGTCTATTCTATCATTTCTGACCCAAAAGACCCTCAACGTGAATTAAGATTCCCATATTATGCTCTGGGTCTCTCGATAGCTTTCTAGCCTATGCTCTTCCTCTCCAGCAATCTGGCCCGAAGCCAGACACCTTTGTAACTGGGTCATTGAATTAAGTTCGCAGCTGAAGATATAGCGACAAGCGATAATAAGAGCCTTAGAAATTCGATATCGTACGAGAACCACCGTCGTTTGGTAAGACGCAATGATCTCCACCCAAGCTCTCGAACTCTGATGTAGAGTAGTCCCTCACTTAGGTGACTCTTGGGACCATGATTATAAAATTTCGGCTTCATATAAAGACTAGTGGGT